CCTTCGCGCCCCTCGACTGACCTGGCCGGCGGCGAGCTGCCCCCTCAGCTTGTTGTGCAGGCTGAGGACGGCGTCCCTGTCGGCGTCCGTCATGCCGACGGCGTTCCTGGAGCACTTCCCGGCGGGCCGCGCGCCGGGCTTGAACTTGCAGGCCGTGTGGCTGCCGCCGGGGCACGCCGGCAGCCTGCAGTAGTCCTGGGCCACCGCCAGCTGCAGCAGGGCGTGCAGCGCGAGCAGCAGCACCGGGGTCATGGTGGCGGGCAGGGCGCTTCCACGGGGCTGCGGTCCTGGGCGGGGTCGTAGTGTTGGCCTCCTGTCCGCTCGCCTGGCCGCCTTGTGGGCCTTGTGGCCTTGGTCCTGTGTAGATCCGCTGAAGTTACCCAATGCCTATGCCCCCACAGAGTCCCCGGAGAATGCAGTACATAGCTACACTGTACCGCATGCGGGCGTGTGGACGTATTGCCTACTCGCAGGGGGCCATGAGGCGCCGAGGTGTGAGTGAAGCCCGCCCGTCGGCTGCTTGCGGCCGATGCGGTATACAGTATAGCTAAAGAATTCTTCGTTGTCCATCGGCCATCCTGCACTACTGTCCGATACAGCGTGGCATACGCACCTGTACTTCGAACTTGCCTATTTCGCTCGCAGACGGTCTTTACGCCTTCGCGGCAAACTCTTCTCTGACGAACTGCTCGCCTGTTCGCCCGGGGCCGCGACCGGCGCTGTACTTCCGCCGTCTCCATCGAGGGGCTCGGCACGTCACTGCGGACGGAAGCGAGTCAAAAGAGAGGATGTGACTGGAGTTGATTGGGATGCGACGGAACGAAAATAATGACGGGATATGACAAAGGAACGTGACTGCGAACGAATCCATTTGTCTGTACAGAAATTTGCAGATTTAAAGTGGGCATTTATTTGTTCATTTTGTATTGTTTTGCAAAGATGTATGTTCAAGTGTGAACATAACTAACCACGTAAACATTCTAAAACTGTACAGGCTGTCCAGGAGAATACGCGGCAGCTCGAAGGGTTGCCTACGCACTAGCTTGCGGGCGCTGAGGGCGGGAGGGGGGGGGGGGTAGGGGGAGGCGAGCGTAGCTACCGGCCGCTTCCCGCCACCTGCACCCTCCACCCTCCACCCCCCCCCCCAAAAAAAGAAAGATTCGCTCTGCCAGCTTACACATTCGCTGTTATTAGGACAGAGGCACCTGCCCCACATTAGCTAAAGTATAACAGTCTCACACTTGTTTTTACAGTGTTGTGCATGCACGCGTTGTTGTGTTGCAGGACTTGGCGACCGACCCCGGCGAACTGATCGACAACATCTACCTGCTGCAAATGATAGAGAGCGACGGCGCACCGCCCTGCAAGAGGTGCAAGACGGCAGAGACAAGAATGCAGCAGCTGCAGCGCGGCGCGGACGCGGGGCGGCAGGTGGTGCAGCAGCTGCGGCAGGTGCTCCCCCTGGCGGTGGAGGCCCTGACCCGCCAGCTGGACACGTCGGTCGCGCAGCTGCGCCGGGTGGAGCTCGCCCTGCAGCGGGAGGCGGCCGGCGCTGAGGCCGAGGAGCAGCTGCAGGTGGCGGCGGGTCTGGAGGACAGCCTTCGCGTGCTGACCACCGAGTGCAGCGTCGTGGCGGACAGGGACGGGGCCACCTGGAGGACGCCCGCGCAGCTGGGCGTGGTCGGCGACATCGTGCGCGCTCTGCTGCTGCAGCTGCAGGGGCAGGAGGAAAAGGTAAGGGCTGGCCTTCACCAGGGTTATCGTGTCGTCATCTCGGTTGCTCTTTATCAGCTCCCTTCCCCCCTCGCCGCTTGCTGCCTGCAGTAGCTGCAGCGGCTCGTGCTGGAGCGTTCGTCGACCGATCCATGCAAGGACGTGGCCGGCTGCTTCCTGCAGAGGCAGGCCATGCGAGGCTTCCTGCCGCGGGTGGACGTGGTCTGCGACGGCTGCAGCGCCTCTGTGTTGTAGGGCCGCACTTGCCCACTGCGCCAAAGAGACCCCGAGGTATATAGGTTTTGTATTGAATGATTGCGTTCTTCTTTTATACATATTTGTACTACTTGTTAGATGCTAAACTCCAAGTCAAATAGAAACTACCCTCACCTAGTTATTTCTTTTTGGCGTGCTTTACCCTTTGTCCCGTTTCTCTAGCTGACGGCCTTGAATCTTCCTCGCTCACTTGCAGGTTGCGGGTCGCGACCCTACAAACACCGACCAATCGGCGCGGACTGATGGCTCCTTCTTTGCAGTTATCTCGACGCGATGTTTCTCTTTCCTCGTCCTGGCCCGGGCTTCCTCGTCCCCGGCGGCCTCGCTCGGGCGGGAGCGAGCAGCAAGCGCCGGACGGCGGCGGGGTAGGCCTCCCGCCCCGGTGGGCCGGCCTTCCTCACAGGGGCCCCGCCCACACCATGTGCCGCAACGAGACGAAAACGTCACGGCAAGACATTGGGCCGAGACTCGGTAAACAAGGGTTCTCAACTCGCCTTGCGCGCAGTCTGGCGCGGGCGAGCGCCCGGCGGCGACGGGGTAGGCTACCCGCCGCGGCGAGGAGGGCGGCGGGCAGGCCTGGCCTACCTCACAGGGGCCCCGCCCAGCCCGTTGGCCGCAACGAGACGGAAACGTCACGGCGCGACGTTTCTTTATCGATAAGTTTATTCATTTTTAAACTCGAAAACCGTTAACACGTCGCGTGCGATACACGTAGTCCCCAAGACTGTCTCTACCAGAAGCGTGCCGCGTGACCCCACCCCCTCCTCGCTCTCTCCCCTTTAGAACAGGGCCACACGTGACGGTGCGTCGCAGGGGCGGATTGAGGTCCGGCTGACAGGGGGGAGCTGCATTATCGGTTCGGTTGCCTACATACAGGGTTTTTGTGGCGCGCCTACCTTTCAGGCGTCGCTCTAGAGACGATCGCCCCCCCCCCCCTTCCTTAATCCGCGCCTGGTGCATCGTTGGCAGGCTAGCGCTGCGCTCAGCTTGCCCCCCAAATCAACCGACCGGCAGGCGGAACGTCGTGGACTATTGTAGCTATTTGAGCTGTGCGAAAAACTGACGGGGTAGCTTGGAGGCCTAGCCGAGGAACCTAGGGGACTATCTCCTTCTTAGCCCTGTAGGCTAATTTTTCACTGGATATATCTACTCCTGTCACACCACATGGAACCACTTGCTGAATAGGGTATTTGTAATCCTTTAAACGTCCTTCTTACAGTGGCGCACTGCGCATGAGCAGACGCAGAGTGGGGGAAGCAGGGGGAAGCAGGGGATGGAGTGGGGGGCGTCTGCTCATGCGCAGTGCGCGTTTTGTTCTTCCATTTTACTTCTTCACCTCCAGCTCTGAAATACCCTATTGATTGCTCTAACATACTTTCATTTAAGTCCTCGGCTGTTACGGCTTGTCAGTGAGACGTTCCAGTTTTACGAACAAAACGAAAATAACAACCCCAGGTGGCAGACCTGCAGACCTGCAGTACAACTGTCCCGTCTAAAACGTCTGCTACCTGGGGGCAGGTTGATGTTCTTTTCGTTTTGTTCGTAAAACTGGAACGACTCACTGACAGGCAGTAAAACCATACCTCTGGTGTCTACAGCAACGAGCAACAACAAATATAACACACTACAGGCGGTTTCTGTAAGTAAAATAAAGCAACCACAAAGTTTCAAGTCAGGCAAGGAAGCGGGCAATATAGGTTAGGTAAGTCAAAACATAGATTGCTGCAGACAGTATGAAAAATTACAAACTATTTTTCTCATATTCTATTCTATTGTTGGCTGCAGCGGAGCGGCGGTATGTTTTGACCAGTTTTAACGTGCTCCGCTTCAAGCAACAACAATCATCTAACCTGATCCGTGGATCTAAAAATACTCACCGTCCATAAAATTCTGAGTTATTCTATGGAAGTAAGTCAATATGCGAGTCGGCGAGTGGTTTGGTGTTTTTGCTTTGAAATGAATCCTTTGTTTTTTTCTAGTTTCTATATGTTCACTTTACTCTGAGTAGTATCTCAAACTTAATAACAATTTATTCAGTCAAAGTAGACCTTTGTTTTTAATTTCAATCTGCTCTGTAGATGGGACCACAGTGTGACATATGCTTTCTTGACTTCGACTTGGACCGCCATAGACCCAAGGTCTTACCCTGTGGACACACAGTGTGTAAAGCATGCGTGGAGAATCCAGGCTTGGGGACAAAGTGCCCAACTTGCAGGAAGGTCAGTAAACAAAACAAGAAGTATTTAATAAGAAACATAGTTTATCGTTTAATGAGGGTAATCATTCTGTGCTGCAAACAGGGAGCTGATGAGACTTTTTATATGAGAAACGTTTAAACTCATTAATCAATGCCATTTGAACTTTAATGACACTAACAGAATTTTTAAACGAACCAATACTAGTTACTGTTTACCAAAACAGAAAGAATAAGTTCTGTCTCTGTCTCATGAACAGGAAATCATTTGTTCTGTTTTATTTTGTTCTTTACAATTTAAGGTG